TCAATAATATTTATTTGCACTGAACTTAACCATTTATTAAATATTACTCTTGCAGAATCTGATAATGTAGATCATTATAGTTTGGGAAAACAATCAATTAAGGACTATTTAAAATTAGAATTAATAAACTATACCAAGAAAAGATATATTTTTCAAAACTGCAAAAATCTTAAAAACTCTGGAGTATCTATAGTTAATGACTTAACAGATAGTCAAAGAGAGGAAAACAAATATTTAAGACAGCATCTGAATAAATATAGGCAAAATGGAAAACAAAAGTGTTATATAAAAGGAAACAAATTATACATAGGAAACAAAGGATTAACAGTAGAGGAGTTGATTTTGGAAAAAAGAAAAAATTTAAATAAATCAAATAGTGCACCACCTACTCCGAATCCATCAGCCGCTGTGGAATACGAAACAAGCGAAGACGAAGTGAATGTCGAAGAAGAAGAAGTAAAAGTAGTTAAAGAAAAATTAATAGAGCCAAAACCAGGAACTTCTATCCAAAACACCAATTTAAAAAATGTAAGCGATATTAAATTTAACCAGAATCGTAAGCCCAAAGAAATAAAAACCCCAGAAAATAAAAAAACTGTTAATGTCAACATAAAAGATAAACTACGAAACAGAATAGGTTCCAATAAATAAATATTAACCTGGCAAATGTTCAACTATTCAAATGAAAATGTTTTTACCCGTACTAAATTAACTGTCTGTATGTACATAGTTTCTTTTCCTTTTGATAAAATTTTAATCTGATTTTAAAGTGTTTTATAGAACTACTAACCTTGTGAAGTGACTTATTAGATTTAAGTTATTAAAAATTATTGATGCTAATAAAAATATAGGACCTGTGAGCTTATTCAGAAAACTGATTTTGGTACCTAGCTATATTATTATGCTATAAAATCTATTTTAATTTAAAAATATGTTTCGCTTAATCTAACTTTTAGTCTATAATTGTCTTTATTTTATTAGTTTTTATTAAGATAAATTATTTAAATTATTATATAGGAAGTTATGGATCAATATTTACAAAATTATGAGAATAAAGATATTAGGGCTCAAGTGATCGATACACTTCCCGAATTCAATGCGTTATTTGAAAAACAAAAAGGCACAATTTCAATATTACACATGAATATAAGAAGCATTCAAAAAAACTTTGATGAGTTCATACTATTTCTAACCCAATTGCCCCATTTTGAAGTGATTGTATTAACTGAAACTCACGTAATAAATGATGTTAGCATATTTATGGATATGATATCATATATAACGAAGGGTCATATAATAAAAATTATGGAACAATCGTTTACGTAAGGAGTCAAATAGAATATACTTACCGATTTGTTAAAATTTTAGATAGTAAAGCCATTGAATTAGAAATTAACTACGGAAATAAAAAAAATATTTTAACAACTTTGTATAAATCACCAGAATGTTGTCCTAAAATGTTTAATGCTTCTCTTTGTAATTACCTTAATAATATCAAAAAATCTGATTTACATATTTTCTTAGGAGATATTAATACAGATCTTTTATCAGATGTAGAATATGTAGAGCAGTATAAAAATATAAATAAAATAAAATAAATACAAATGGATTTATTTCATACATTAATCAGGTTACTAGACCGAGTAGTAAAACTTGTCTTGACCATTTCTTTGTAAAAAATCTATTAATTCAGATAATTCCCTTAAATCATATATCTTTAATATTGATATAACTGACCATAGCCCTATAGCCTTAAATATAGATAACTTAAACTTTCAAAACAAAAATACAAAAAACACAAAGCCAAATATGAAAAAATTTATTGATTATCAAAAACTTAAGACACAATTGCAAAATAAAAATTGGGATATAGTATATAATATGCCAACTATTGACTTAATGACCGACGAATGTATAAATATTATCAAAACATTAGTAAATAATAATACAAAATTGGTTAAAATTTCTAAAATGCTACACAATAAAAAACCATGGATAACAACAAGTTTGTTAAAAAACTAAATGAAAAAAATGAGCATTATCTATTAACAAAGCGTAATCCAAATGATCTTAATCTACAAAATTCATATCGGCAAATTAAGAACAAGCTGACAAAATTAATAGAAAAAGCAAAAAAATCTTATTTTAACAATTTAATTGATAAAAATAAAAATTCGTCAACAGAACTGTGGAAATGTGTTAATACCATATGCAGTAAAAATCACCCTGAAAATAAAATATAAAAAATTATTAAGAGTAATTAAGAAATAATACATAACAAAACAGACATAGCCAATGAATTTAATAACTTTTTTAGTGATCTGGGTAAAAATTATGCCGAGAAAATTATTGTCCCCACAAATTATGTCGAAAATAAAGAACATCTCACCAGAACAATGTATTTATTCCCAACAAATGATGAAGAAGAAGTTGAAAAAACTATAAGGTCTTTAAAAAACAAAAAATCGCCAGGAATTGATAACATTAGAGCGGAGACTTTAAAGGAAATCTCAAAAGAAATATCGGTACCCTTAACGTACATACTTAATAGATCTTTTAATTCTGGTATTTTTCCCACATCACTAAAAACAGGATTAATTAAGCCTATATTTAAAGGAGGAGAAAAACAAAAACAGGTAATTATCGGCCAATAACACTAACTTCAACAATAAGTAAAATTTTTGAAAAAATATTTAAAAAGAGACTTATTTGTTTTTTAGAAAAACACAACATATTATCTAATAGTCAATTTGGCTTTAGAGAGGGAAAATCTACGGAGGATGCAATTTGCTCACTTATGAAGGATATATATAACGCATTAGATAAAAAAGCACCTTCCTTATGTATTTTTGTAGACCTTTCTAAAGCCTTTGATACAGTAGATCATGAGAAATTATTAAAAAAACTAATATGTTATGGTATAAGAGGCGTCGCATATAATTTTATTAGAAGCTACTTAAGTAGTTGAACTCAGTAAGTAGAGATTGATGAGAACATCAGCGAGGCTAGAACTATTACTTATGGTGTACCCCAAGGTACTGTACTGGGGCCTATACTATTCACTATATATATAAAAACAGTTTGCTAACACTGAATACAGAAGGAAAAATTATAAGCTTCGCTGATGACACCGCCATTTTCTATAGATCTAGTACTTGGAATGCTGTTAAACATGAGGCCGAAAATTACTTTAAAAAAATTCTAACATGGTTTAATTATAACAAATTAACTCTAAATATAGAGAAAACTAAAAATATGCCATTTGCATCATACTCTCCTGGACTTCCCAATTTTGGCCCTCTACTCATAGACAATAATTTAAAAATTCCAGAAACAGAAAAAATTAAATATCTAGGACTAATTGTTGACCTTCATTTAAAATGGGACCTGCAAACTAAATATGTTACCCAGAAGTTAAGGGGATTTCTATCAAAATTTAAATACTTAAGAGAATTTCTAGATTTAAATCATTTAAAAATATTATATTATTCATTAATACAATCACATCTTAATTATGGAACTATTGGGTGGGGAGGAGTCAATGACTGTCACTTAGAAAATTTAAATGTAATTCAAAAATGGATTATTAGACTAATTTATAAAAAAAATATATTGTTTTCCAGTAATGAGCTTTATAACATTAGTGATTTCATGGATGTAAGACAAATTTATTGTCTAAAAATATTTTTATATTATCAAAAAAATAAAGGCAAGTTACAACGTCTAGCACATATCCATGACACAAGAAACAAAGAAAGAACGTATAACTTACCTAAGCGAGAGAAAACTATAGGTCAGCGCTGTTTTGACTACTTGGGCCCAAAACTTTTTAATCAAATCTCAGTTGATCTACAAAATATGTCCCAATTAGGCTATTTTAAAGCAAAAATAAAAATATGGATGAAATCAAAAAATAGAGACTTTTTCCACAACATTGTAAATCATATTTAAAGAAGGAATATATTCAAAATAATCAAAAACGTTTTTCTTATTAATTTAATTTATTATTATTGTTGTTGTTATTAATATTATTATAAAATAAATTTTTAATCTATAGAAACGAAATCCCTATTGTGACATTATTTGTTGATAAAATATAACTTACCTGTTGTCGATACTTTTATGTATTAGACATATGTATGAGCATATTCGAATATCACGTACAAGCTGTAAATCAGCGCACTTACAGCTTCTGTGATTATAAATTGTTTGTTCGCATTTTTTTATTATTATTTTATTTTTATGTATTCTTTTATGAATAAACATTTTTATTATAATAAAAAAAAAAAAGAATATCTGCCCGAGAATACACCGATCAAGGAGAAGCGACAGCTTGGTGTTTTCGGTGTACCGTTTTGATACGCGCATGTGCGAAAATAAGTTGTGTATCACTCAAAATCATATTATCTGTCAAAGTCAGTCCAAGTTGTGTTTAGTTTGTGAGCTGTTAAGAGATATTTTTTGGTGTTTCTTTGTGTTGTAATAGAATGTCTGGATCTGGATATTTTTGTGCATACCGTTCTTTCATCCAGAACCGGCCAAGGATTAAGTTTATTTAATTTTCCAAAGGACTATGAACAGTAAATATCATAATTATTAATTAAATCACATTACAACATTTGCGCATGGACTATAACAATGATTTCAGATAATTTGCCAAATTTTTTCGTTCAGTGTAGAAAATAAGCATGTTTTCTTAGCGTTATTAAGTTGTGTAATAATCAAAGTCATGCTGTGAAAAAGGTCCATCCGATATCAAAGGCACCGACAGCTACTGTCGCTTCTCCTTGATCGGTATTCTCGGTATCTGCATCGAAGCGTTATGTAACAAGTTTTGTTTTATCTATTAAAGATAGAACCAAACATCTGCTATTAAAGGAACCGTGTATATTTTAATTGAATAAATTGATTAATTCCTAATGATTTATAAGAAATGAAAGTTTTTTCTAATAATAATGGCATAAACATAAAAAAAATGAGTAACATTAAAACCAGTCACTAGCAAAAAAGAGAATTTTAAAAATTGATTTATTTCAATGCTTCACAATTAATTGAAACCTTAAAATTATTCTAGAGTTAAGTGATAAATATTGACGTGTTTGCTCTAAGCAAGACTCAGCTTCCCTAATTCCATTAGTAAACGTGACAGATCCAGACGATTTCCACCCCAAACATCACATTCCCTTCCTAATAACTTTAAACAATCCGCCAGGACCTTCGTCCTCTCCGATAAAATAAAAGGCAACTCCTGATTTAGGATACAGCGCGCGTGCTTGTAGTTCATTAAGACTTCTTCAAATTGTTGGCGTAGTTTGCTCAAGGATTTTTCGTTGATGTTCATCACTTCCAGGATAATCTTGAAATTTTTTAATGCCAATTTGTAGTCGTGTTTCCTTTGATCGTGCTCCTGTTTGAGTTGTTTTATGTGATCGTAACGATTCAGAGATACAAACAACTTCGATTTTATATCTTCCAACGATTCCAGTTCGGGTCTCTCGCATAACTTCTTCAGAGCTTCCGAAACTTGTCCATTTATTTTATTTTCGTGCACTACATAAGTATTAAGTACTTGGGTGAAACGTAACGATGATTTTATTTCCAGGATCATGCAGTCTAGATATTGCAGTACGTGATCTAGTAAGTTTTCTACTAACTCGTAACTTTCTATTAAAACTTGATCTTGCAGCGCAGCTGTAGATTCGTCTACCTGAACATTTGCTAATTCCATTTTTAAGTCTTCATATTTTGTAGACAAATCGTCTTCTCTGCGGTACTGAATAGTGGTTTCTTTTACACTGAACTGACTCTCGAAAGAGATACTTTTATGGTCTGATTTTGATATTGCTAGTTGGTCCATTTTTCCATTTTCTTCGGTTTCTTCTATTTGCTGGATAATTTGCTGCTTCAATAGTAAATTTAGATTTTTTGTATTCATGACTTTCACATCGGATTCCAACATTTCGCTGTTTAAAATATGATATGACAGTGACATTAAACCTTTTAGATGCTATGGAAATAAACATGAATACAGGGAGTTCAAAATTTATGTAGGTACTGTACTCTGATTTTTAAAAACCTAGAAAATAACTCCTCACTAAGTTTTTGGAGATCCTTAAGATTTTCTTGAAATGCAAATATATATTGTAGTTCCAATTTGTTGATCCATAATTACCATTGGCACAAACTTATATCTATTACTTCGTAGTTACACGAAAAATAGAAGAGAAAAGCGGTGTTTTCCGCAAAAATAATCGTAGTTAAAAATGTTTTATATAAAAGTTGTAGTTCATGAATTGCAAGCTTCCAATTGACACGATGAGTGCCAATAAAATAACCTTTGTGCGTACTTGAAAGACCCTTCACAGATAACACAAGTTTCGATTAACGTCCACTCACCAGGATGAAGAGTTTTAGTTATTTTACAAAAATTCTAGATGCTTCTAAAACGGCTCATCGGCTCTTACTGCACTCTCTACGATGTAATTACGTACCTTAAATTTAGGGGTGTATTTCTGAGCTAATTTTATAAAAAAAAAAATGCATAAAAACAAGGGTCCTCAGTGGTGTACAATTTTTTAATAAAAAGAAAATTTTAACCTAGTTAGGGCTAAGACAGACTTTTATCACAAAGACAGTGACTTTTAAAGATAGTTCTAGAACATTTAATTTTTTTAGTATTTGATTTTAGTTTTAATATTTGATTTTAGGTACAGCAGTTTTGCTAATGCCAAGAAATTAAAAAAAGTTTAATTCCATTGACAACATATAATCCATTCCATGTGAAAGTGCAACAATTTTTCAGAAGCATAAGGTTTATTTTTATTTTGTGTAAAACTTTTTTCATTCAAAATTTAACCTACGATATACGTATATACCATTTTATATGGCGTGGTCTTATTTATATTATAAGAAACTAATTTTAAAAAGTATGCCTATGGAATGTGACTTACTGTACTTCTCTTTTATTCAGACTATAGTATTATTTTTCAAATCAAGTGTTAGTTGATCCAACAATTAAATATATAGAGGTTACTAACAATGATCTTGCTCTTTCAGGATATATTATTCAAAAACCGATTGATTTTAATAGCACATGCTACAATCAGGTTAGCTTTCAAAAGATATCAACGTAAAAGAAGAAAAAAATAGAAAGGGGGTATCTAAAACGAGTTGTTTTTTGTTATGTTGATGTAACTGAAAATGGTACAACTGATTGGCTCCAAGATGCAGGCCACAGGCTACATACTACAGGCCACAGGTTACAGGTCACAGGTTACAGGTCACAGGCTACAAGTCACAGGCTACAGGTCACAGGCTAAAGGTTACAGACTACAGGCCACAAGGTTAGAAAAGAAGAAAATAGAAGTTGTTTTCTAATTGAATGTCAATTCTAAGAGAGGGTGATTTTTGGGCCCATTTTGAGAGAAAAACTTCATAATAACTTTTGAGATACAGGGTGGTAAAAATGAATATTTTATTTATTAATATCTGTAATGCCAATCTAGATATTTTAATGAAATTTTATATTACCACCAGTGGCGTTCGTGCTAAATTTTAATTAGAAATAGAATGTGGCTTATGCATGATAGCGCGCCCGCTCACTTTAATGTTGATGGAAGAGAATATTTAAATCGCACCCCATTTTACGTTCAATAAATATTATATTACAGTCAAATTGTTATTGCCTATATATTTTAAGATATTTTAAATATAAATCATCTTTGATAACGTTTTCTATTGATGAAATCTAGATGTTCTCTCTAATAATAATGTACGACCTATTTCCAAATTTTACGTTTTTTCACAATAAATTAAAAACCAAATCCAAAATTATTTATGCAAAATTTAATTAGGCCAAGAAATAAAGTAGTTTTACCTGTGAAAAATTAGAATAAAGCCAACAATTGTTATGTTGGTCCGATTCGATACCCTTTCATTTGCTCGCTGGCTTGCAATTTTAAGAATATTTTTTAATCGATTTTTTGAGAACGCTGCGCGTACGACTAGTCTGAACTGAAAAATTCTGGTACACTCTTCATATAGACAATCTAGAGGATATTTATGTTAAAATACTCTGCAAGAGTACTACCCTAGTATTTATGGTTTGCCCTCTAGCTCTAGAGCGTTGTAAAAAGAGACTTGTCGTCGATCACGCACATATCTTTCTCGAGCACTATAGACCGAAGATGGTCGTGGTGAATTTTTTAAAAACTATATTATACCTAGCGTTGCCATCTTTTTGAGAAGTAAATAACGGACAACGGTAACGACAGGGATCCGGTTAATATTTTTGCGAGCTACTAAAAAAAATCCTCATCAGATATTTTAATAAACCCCCTGGTCCTTCTGCCGAGATTCAAAAGAAAAAAAGGTCCTCATCAGTTATTTTAATAAACCCCTGGTCCTTTTTCCAAGCTTCTAAAAAAAGGTCCTCGGACATATGCTTTAAAAAAGGACATGTGCCGTAAAAAGGACAATTTGTTTGAAAAAAGGACAAGGGCAACCTTAATTATACCTGAATAAAATATATGTTACAATAGTTTTTGTTAGTGTCCATAGATTAATAATTAATGGAATGGCAAGCGCCTAAAATTGACTGCAGTTTGTAAATTTCATAAAAGGTAATCCTATGTTATTTCACTTATAATTTGCCTTGTAAACCGATTTAAAAAATGCTTCCCTACAAGCAATCAGAAATTTCTATCTATCTATCTATCTGAGTTAGGGCGTGGTTCAATGTCCACTCGCATTGAAGCTCTAGGCTTATTGTACCCCTCACAGTTTCTATGAATTTAAGAATATGTCTGATGAGCGTTTTTGCGATTTCTTCAGGATCTGGATATTCTACCCCGAAGTACCATTCCCGTTCCTATGTAAGGTTCCGACAGTGGCATAGTATGTGAATAAGAGTTTCGTCCTCCTCTTCTACATAGGGAGTAACCCCTAAGAAATTTAGATGTCTTCTAAGGCCGCAGTGTCCCATAAGGAGTTGTATTACTGCCTTGAGTTCCCTCCGGCTAAGGTTTAGCAGTTGATTTTGTCACCTCTTGGATGGCTCCTCTATAGACTGTCTTAGTCCAACCAAAGCCTATGGTGTTCTCTATTTATTGTTTTTTTAAAACCCATTTAAGATGTTGGTATTTCATACCACATGTAGGTTCTGGTCCAATTAGAGTTTTTTCCGCTCCCTTTCTTGCTAGGAGGTCTACTTTCCGTTTCCAAACACTCCCTCATGTCCTGGCACCCATTCAAGGATGACGTTGTTATGTTCTTACTTTTTCTATTGTTTTTTCTATATGGCTACAGAAGCTAAGCTTTTCATCAAGAGTGATTTTAAAATATTTAACCCCTTTTACCATTTTTAGATGTTGTTTCCACATGTAAAGCTCCTTCATTTCTTGAAGGTTTCTTTTTTCATGTAAATACAACAACAGATGTTTTTGTCGGATTTGGGGACAATCGCTTTTTAGGAACCATCTTTCGACGATATTTTCGGATACAACAGACCCAAATTTACCGTTTACTACGATGCTTATTTCGTCTGCAAATGCTTGCGGGTATAAGTTTTCTCTCTTTAACTCTCATAAGAGGTCATCATCCACCAAGGTGCTATGGAGATTACTAGTAACGGTTCTATGATTAAGCATGAACTCAACCCAGTTCATAATGCAGTGGACTTCTCCATACCTATGCATAAATCCCAGTATGGAACTGTATGAAGCCGAATCAAAGGCTCCTTTTTATATCTAGGAAGACTCCTAGTGATTTCTTTCAAGATTGGTAGGCAAACTGGTATCGATCTATTGGTTTATCTCGTAGAACATCGTCCCGTATATATCTATCGATCAATTTCTTCAATGTTTGTAGGAGAAATCATGTTAGACCGATTGGTCTAAAAGATTTGGTCTCCTGATGAGACGCTATTTCGAGTTTGGGAATGAAGACAACTCTTGCACACCTCCAGCTTTGTGATATATATCCAAGGGCTATGCTAACTCGGAATAGTTTACACAGTACTCCCTGGCCCTTTTCTAGAAGTGTCGGGATAATACTACCAGGTCCAGATGTTCTGTATGGCTGAAAGGAATGTATGGCATCATTTAGCATCATGTTTCCCAAAGAGTGTATTTTTAATGCGAATATTTTATGTTTGAGAGGCGATTAAAGACGCGTAAGTAAAAAAATTCGGAAAAATTAAAAGTAGTCTTAGAGCGCTGAAAATTTGCAGGTCAATGCATTATTCGAATTTTAATCGGACTGTATGCTAGCTTGATTTTTTAGTTATGAAAACCTAATTCCAAAAGCGTTTTTTTTAACAGAAGGTTAAATGGAAAACTTTTGTACATTTTAACAATGCTCAGAAAATATATATTGTCTGTAACGTTTAAATTTGGCCTTATAGCGTTTTTCATTAAAATAGGAATACGCTTGTTTTAGTCCGTGTTCAGTAATTATTAAAAGGGTCCTTCTATACACGCATTTAAACCACTGTGCTTTTGGATCGATTACGAACTGCTGATTTGCCAACTCACTATCGAAGGCGTTTTTCGCGAGCCTTTTTCCATAGATGTAGGGCTTTTTCTGCGACACTCTGGGCGAGTAGGTGGCTGCCCTGTATTCAAGATGTCGGTCTAGCGTTTCTGCCCTGATGGTAATTGTTGGTATATGATCAGTTTGGGGTAGATATGACCTCTATTTGAGTTTAGTTAGGCTATTTATTTGGTTTTAGAGGCTTTGTATGGTTATTTTAGCCCTTTTTGTCAAGAATTTATTTCGTAATAGACGGCGCTGATGGGACATTGTCACTAAGGTATGTTGATTTGAAATGACAGGCCACTGACAGGTATATGACAGGTTATAATATGGCAACATTGTGAGCCTGATGGTTTGATAGGTTCAATGCTATAGGCAGTTATATAGATTAATCATCCATGGTTTTAAAAATAAACATGTGAAGTAATAATGTAGGCTAATATATTTTTTTAAATATTAAAAGGCTAAAAATTGGTTTTAAAACACATTTTAGCTAAACCGATTCAAATTAACAAATACTTGCTAGGCAATATGGCCGCTTGCAAACGACCCTTTTTGAGCAATCTATATAACTATATATGTATCATTAACGTTGATTATAATAATATGCTAACAGGGTTGCCATATTTAAACTGTCAGATCTCACTGGTAGCCATTTGGATGTTTATAGCGGACAGGTATCTACGTACACTTTTGCCA